TAATCTATGAATAAATAGTGATGGTTGTTATTATTATTACTAGTCATATACGGGGATAGCTGAGCACAGTCTCCCGGTTCCAGCTGGAAAGGTGTGCACGAGGGGAGGAGGAATCCAGGAGATCCTGGTGGGTGTTATGAAGACCATCCCACAAGCATCACGTGACGTTACAGAGGGCTCTGATGTTCTAAGATAGCTGCAATGGTAGAAGGGGTGTTAGCACAGTGCAAAGCAGGGTAAGCGTGTGTGTGTGTGTGTGTGTGGTTGGGAGAGCAGGAGAGGAACATATTAATATTCTTTGCCAGACAGATCCTTGTGCAGTTATAACGGAGCTCCCCATCACCATTTGTCACTTAGATTCTTACCTATAACTGGCAGGGAAAACCCATCATCACTAGAAGGGCCCTGATTGGAAGCACTGCCCTATAAGATGATTACTGTCTCTTTGGTTTGAGCATGGCTGGGACCCTCCCTGCCACCTCTCGACGACACCCAGGGCCGGGGAGAATGTGCGACCACCTCTGTGACTGTCCCATGGTGTAGCTCTCTCCCTCTGGATCCCTCTTCTCTAAGTTCTAGAACATTCTCTGGGGCCTTTTCTAACTGGCTTTTCAGATACACTGTCTGAGGTTTGTGCTAGAGCCCAGGGCTGGAGGCTTCCATGCATGCGAGCTCAGAAAATCCCAGCAAGTTGCCTTCACGATGATTTCATTAGGGGAGAATTGAGATGCTGCTGCCCCAGGTACGAGTGAGGGCGCCTTCCCTGAGGGCCACACTCAGCTTCTAAAGAGAAGACCCTGGCAGAGGAAAAGTACAGACCTTCGCTGACAGCCCCACATGCTGATCTGTCTAGATAAAAACTTGGGAAAGGCCATTATCATCCAACAGCGCTGCTGGAAACTTGCCCAGATGTCAATTCCTGGATGAGTAACCACAGAGAGACAGTTTCTGTCTCTGAGAGAATGGCCGAGACAGTTTCCGAAAGATTCCAGAGCTCCTGGCTCATTTTCAGCCAGGGTCTCAGCATCTTCACTTTGCAGCCGAGGAGGCCGAAGGTCATGGCGGGTGTGCTTCCCGTCCCGCAGGCAGGCAATGAACATGCCGGGCCCAGAAGCAGAAGACCTCCATCTAGTCCTGTGCCATGAGAATGCCTTCTCCCTGCCTCGGAGTCACAGCTGGTTGTATGTTTGTGCCTCTTGTCCATGCAAGTGATGTCTGTCGGCACTGCTAACAGCTGGACCCCCAGCCCCAGACCAGGCCTTGGCCCGTGGCGGCTCTGAGTATATGTTTGCTGAACAAATGAATGGCCATAACGGCAGGTTCCCCCAAGCTGTGCTTCCAGTGGGACAAACGGGCCCGTTATCCTCAGAGAAGTTGAAAGCCCCGTGGCCACTGTGAATTGGAATTACAAAGTAACTGAGAGAGGGTGGGGCAGAACATTTGAACATAGCTCCCCACATCTGTCTAAGGAACGCGTCTCAAGCTGGATCCTCCCAGAGGCAGATTCTGACTGCAAGTGGCTGGTTTGGCAGGTGCTCAGGGAAGCACCAGCAGGGCTCTGTGGAGGGGAGAGAGGGCGGGAAGGAAGACAGTACAGTGTGCGTGAACCAGCAGGCTCTGGGCGTTGGGGCAGAGCCCCAGGGGGGCCTCTGGGAGACTTGGGAGTCGTTCCGCCTACAGGTGAGGAGCTAGAGTGGGGACCCACCAGCTCGCACTAATCGTGGGTGGAGAGCTGCTCCCAGGGTGTCAGCCCCTCCATGCCCCAGTCTGCCGGAGCAGCCAGGCTCATGCACGTGCGCGCTGACGCAGGTGGCCGGCGGGAGATAACTGCTGCCCCCCTCTTCCTCCTTTTGATAAGTTAGGAAACTGAGGCTCAAAGCAGTTAAGGGACTTCCTGATAAGCAGTCAGGCTGGGCTTCAGGTCCAATTCCGTCTGGCCGTGGAGCTGTGCTCTCTCTGCTGTCCTTGTGGGTCCCCAGCACTTTCCCCGAGTGGAGCGTGGGGTGAGAGGGTCCCCCTGGCAGAATCTTCTCTGCCTTTTTCTAGGATATGGCGCCCTGGCGTATTCCGTTATAACATCCCTCCTCCTTCTGTTCAGAGCAGTTAACTTTGCCTCATTGTTGTTTCATCGGGCTGAGCTTTAGTGAACCACAGCCCTGGCCTGAGTGCAAGGCAGGGAGGGGACAGGCTGGCCTCCGTCAGCCCTGCCTGCCGAGTTCTGAGGCCACACAGGCCTGGTCGAGGCAAGAAGCAGGCCCGTGGCCTCAGTCCCAGCCATCGGGAATCCAGGTCCACCATGTTTCTTTGTGTAACACATTTGGTTGTATTTTTGGACCCAGGATTGGCTTTGGTGACGTTGTCTTTCTGCCAGATTGATCCGGAAGTTCCAGAGGAAGGGTTCCAAACATGGGGCATGTCTGAAATGGTCCTGGTTCTAACGGGCTTGGCTGGGACAGCTGTGAACTGCAGGGGGCCCCTAGACTCATCCCAGCAGCCGGTCTTGCCAATCAAGTGCCCCATGGCTAGAAATCAGGCCCTTTCTTCCTGTTTGAGATCGAGGCTTTGCCTTCCTCCAGGAACTGGGTCTGGAAGGGTGATGACCTTTCCCTCATTCTCCAGTCCTGTGTTGACACGAGACCCTGGCCCCCAGGATTCGGGTTTTGCCCAGCATGTTGTCCGCCATGGACCTCTTCTTGTACCCCATGACACTGCCCAATTTTCATTCATTGCTAAATTCATAAGTGTTTATTAAGAGGCCTATTATATGCCAGACTCTGCCCTAGGCACTGGGACACAGATGTGGCCCCTGCCTTCCAGGGCTTCCTCTCTTCCATCCAGGGAACATGGCTTTGTTTTGCTCCCTTTGCAACCTTCCTACGTTGCCCGCCAGCCTTGGTGGGTCTTTTCTCTCGTGTTTGTTGAAAGCACTTCCGATGTGCTGGATGTTACCTCCTTCGATTTCCACCATAAGTGGAAAGGGTACTGCAAGAAGTACTCTTACAAATACTGCAAGAAGGAGTATTTAACTTGATGGGGGACGAAGGCTCCAGGAGATGACATGACCTGTGCCAAGCCAGGAGGTATCACACTTAGCGCTTGAACCTGGGAATTGCACTTGGAAGTCCAGAGCACAGTCTATTCAACTTGGCTGACTGAGCTCCAGCCATCCCTCCTCTGTTCTGTTCTGCTGCTTTTGAAATGACCGTGAACTAGGGTGCTGTGCTGGGACAGTTCTCCCAGGCTTGGGAGAAATGGAAGCTCTTGTTGTGAAATTGTATTTAGTGATCCTTTGCCTTGGGAAGGAGGAAAATGGCAGAAGAGACAGATTTTTCCAGGGCTGGGTTCCTCCTTGGACCCGGCCCCAGCTACTCAGCATGTGCCGTCTGGTTAGGACATACGGGCCAGTCTCAGATTAAAGCCCAGCCCTGCAGGGACTTTGGCCTCTCCCAATGGCCTGGTTTGTCTATGGACACAGTGCCCATTACTCTATGTTAAATACTTGTAGCTCTACAATAAATACCTGTTGAAGAGTGAATCAAAATGAATGAAGAAACTTTGCAAATTTTGGTCTTGTCTCCTGCTACCTGGGGGACTTTGGGCAAGTCACTTCATTTTCCTGAGTCTGAGATTTATCAGCTATAAAATGGAATTTATAATATAGAGGGTTGTTGTGGAGATTAAATGAAATAACGTGGAAATGTCCAGCTCAGTTCCTGGTATACAGTAGGTGCTAAGTGCAGCCTCCCAAATTCAGGTTCAGGTAGGGATGGACAACGTCTTTCAGATTCGTTTTGTGCTCACCAGTCCATCTTTTTCTCTAATTCTCCCGGAAACGGAGAAATGCAGCTGCACACGGATGTTCCCACCACCCCCAGCGACTCTGGAAACATGTGCCTTGTTTATTCTCAGTCACCTCATCCACAGGATAGGGACACAGGCCTTTCATTCAGAGAGCTCCACAGGCAGCATGGAAGGCCTTGCCCACCTCTCAGCACCCTGAAAGAATGAGTGAGGTGTTGTTTCCATGTGCTGGGCAGAAGGATGGCAATTAGGAAGGATTCACTGTAATTACCTATTTATCTCTGAGATTTAACCTAGGAGTGTTTCTGTTCAAACAACAGTGTTTAGCGGTGCTCAGCTAGGCATACAACCTCCATCTGCTCCTTGGTGTCGGTGGACAGAGCCTGGGGGTGGGCGGAGGCATCCCTCTCTCAGCCTCACCAGCGAGCTTTGCTTTGTTGTCACCTTGAGTAGATCACTTTGCAGAAACACCAGTCAGTGATGGCTTAAGGACCAACTAATTTCGCTTTTGCTTTTTGATTGAGGAGTAGAGAGGCATTTCTTACAAAGCATTCCTGACAGGGACTTGAGAAGGGACACAGTAGTTTCTAAGACAGTGTGGAGGATTTTTTAAAAACTCATTGAAGTATTGGAGAAAAGGTAACTGATTTGCTCTGAGGCTGCTATGTTGAGGTGAAATATTAAAAGGAAAATATCTGTTGACTTGGGTCAACTCAAAGCATCCAATTGTCTTTTTTTTTTAAATAAATTTATTTATTTTTGGCTGTGTTGGGTCTTTGTTGCTGTGCGCGGGCTTTCTCTAGCTGCGGTGAGTGGGGGCTACACTTCTTTGCGGTGCGCGGGCTTCTCATTGCGGTGGCTTCTCTCGTTGTGGAGCACGGGCTCTAGGTGCGTGGGCTCAGTAGTTGTGGCACATGGGCTCGGTAGTTGTGGCACGTGGGCTCTAGAGTGCAGGCTCGGTAGTTGTGGCGCACGGGCTTCCTTGCTCCGCGGCATGTGGGATCTTCCCAGACCAGGGCTCGAACCTGTGTCCCCTGCATTGGCAGGCAGATTCTTAACCACTGCACCAGCAGGGAAGTCCAATTGTCTTTTAAGCAACAAACACTTAGAGACAGTCAATGGTGGAAAAGATACTATGGCGGGTGCGGAGGTGGGAGTGATGGTGAACTAAAAACAATTAAAATGTAACTGTCTTTCAGGGGTCCAAGGTCAAGTGAGAGAGACCCACCATGGACATACCAGAGATACCAGTTGCCATGGAATGGCTGACCTGCACAAAGTAAGGACAAGAAGCCAGAATGGGCTGCTTGGGTGGTGTGGTGGGAGGCTGCTTCCTGGAGGCCGCATAGTCTTGATAGAGGGAAAGATATAAGCACACAAGGGCAAGAAGCGGTCGTTTGGGCATGAAAGGCATTGGATCAAAGGCCCTGAGAATGGTCTGGCCATGGGACTGGTGGGGGAGCAGTCAGACTTGCTCAGGAATAGGCTGGGTAGAAGACCTCAGATCCTAGTTTCTAGTTTGTCAGCTAGTAGCTGGGTCACCCGGGCTAGGCGACCTCCCTGTCAGGGCATCACTGTCCTAGTGAATCTCAGGGCTGATTGAAGACAAGAGTATGAAAATAAATGTGAAAAGATTGTGCAACTCCCCTCCCTTTCTTCTCCTAATTTCCTGCAAATCAATTCCACATGCCAGTGGCCACTGGCTATAAGAAGAGGAAAGCCCCGTGATCCGCAGATGGTCATTGGGTGTGACCGGCCGGTGTTACCCTCATCCTTCCCCCAGAGAACTATTGGAGTCTGCATCCCCAGGTGGCAGTGTGAGACTCTGTGACCAGAACTGCACCCCGTGACCGTGCCAGGAACATGAACCAGGCAGGTCTCATCTTCCTGTCATCCTTAAACTGAGATACGCTCTCCCGCCACAGAGTTAGCTACGTGCTGCAGCTGCTCCTATGACAAAGATATTCCCGTAAACAATGAGGAAAACTTCCGGAAAACCTACTGTGGTTGGCAGAGTAATGGTCCCCAGAGAGGTCCTAATCCTCGGAAACTGTAAATACGTTACCTCTTCTGGCGAGGGGAATTAAAGTTGCACATGGGATTAGTGTTGCTGGTCAGCCGCCCTTAAAATAGGGAGGTTGTCTTGGATTATCTAGGTGGACCCAGCTTAATCATAAGCGTTCTTAAAAGTGGATGGCAGAACAGAGATGGCAGTGTAGCGGTGCGAGAAGAAATTAGCCCAGCACTGCTGGCTTCGGAGATGGAGGAGGGGGCCTTGAGCCAAGGAATGTGGGCAGCCTCTAGAAGCTGGAGAAGACGGGGCAACAGTCTCTCCCCTAGAGCCTCCAGAAAGGAGCACAGCCCTGCCAACATACTGACTTTAGCCCAGAGACACCTGTGTCAGACTTCTAATCTATAGGACTGTAAAATGATAAATTTGTGTTGCTTGAAGCTACCAAATTTGTGGTAATTTAGGAAATTACCACAGTGATAGGAACCTCCACCTACCCTCCACCTCTAATTCTCCTTCCTGAATTCCAGAAGATGCTGTCATTCGTATGTATGTTCACTCATTCATTCATTCAGTTGCGCTTACATATACTCATGTATTCCTGTACTTTAGGTTCCTAATTTGTAAATAGAAGTTAACAGTAGAAAAATATTTCATAGGGTCTTTTTGAAGATTAAATGAAATGAAACAAGAAAAGGGCTTAGCACGTTGACTGGCGTGGTGCAAGCATTCATAAATGTTAGCTGTCTCTGCCATTTTTTTTTTTTTCTTGTTGTTCAGTCAGAAAACCTCTCTTGGGCACCAGGCTTGTCCCAGCTCTGCCTGAGCTCAGGCCGTGGTTCCTGGATGGAAGAACAGGTTGGGTGAGGGTCAAAGGGGGCTTTCTCTGAAGCCCTTCTCGGTAACTATGTGTCATTGGCCGCCTCTACCTACAAGGCAGGCTACTAGATTCAGACCTTCTCTTAGGCTCATGGCTGCCCTTGAACAAAACCAGGGTTCTCTTAGGGAGACAGGGAGATTGGATTTTAGTATGAAATTGCCCACAGTTGGTAAAGCTGTGGAGACAAAGGAAGGAAGTTAGTGAGAACAGGCAATGATCATTTGGGGAGTACCATTAGGTACCATATCTTTTACATGTGTCCTTCCATGTAACCTCACAACCACCCTGCAGGGTTAGTAGTCTCGTCCCCATTTCAGTGTGATGGGACAGAGACCCAGCCTCGCACAGCTAATAGGTAGAGGCAAAATGGAACCTCTGGATTCCAAGTCTTCTGGATTCCAAGTCCACGCCCCTTCCATCCACCACTGCCTCACCTTCAAGGTGGGGGGCTGCAGACGAACCTGGCAGATTGAAAACCCCATTTCTCCCTGCTCTTTTATTCTCTGGCTTGACTGTAAAAAGAGGTGTTTCCTCCAGCAGGACACAGGCTCGTTTTCTCTGGTCTTTCCAGCTCCTCTCCTTCAGTGCTGGGGGAGCAGTGCTGCTCTCAACACCCACGCCAGCCCTGTCCCTGGGCAAGTGCAGCCAACAGGAAGCATCCCACGTAGATCCAGTGCAAACACAGTCATCGCCGCTGAGCAAGGCTTCCGGAAGCAAAGCTCTCTGGCTCCCGAGAAACCTCCTGTCCTGCTAACCTTTCCTTTGCAGCTTCTCTGGGCTGCAGGGGGCTGCCCCTGGCGCTGCCTAGCACATACCTAGTTCCTCCTCTCGCCAGAGCGTTTCTTGCATCGTTGAAGCCCGTTGAGCTTTTCTGTTCACTTCGGGACAACATTTTGCTTCCTGGGTGCCCACTGGACAGCTGAGCCCATCTTGTGTGAGCCAGTCATCATGGAAAAACCCTTCAGGAGGCAAGACACAGGCGAGGGGTCCTCATGGAGAGTCCATCTGTCTGAGCCGAGATCTGTCATCAATTGTCCTAACTGAAATTGAGGCACATTAGTAAGACGGTCAGCCAGCAAATAAAAGGGGGCCTTTAGCTATCATTTGGAAATAATTATCCAAGTAAAAATTGAATGAGTGATTAGGCTCAGTAGCTGAGGCAACATCTCTTAGACTAAAGCAGCTGTGCCTTTTAGATGCCCAAGGGTGACTGATGGCAGAGGAAAGCCTGCGTGTATCTCTGGGACCACATAAGGAGGCACGGGCAGGAGTTTCATAATGTCCTTCCCTGACTCACTGCAGGCAGGCCCTCTGGGGCTGAGCTGTGAGCACTTGAACCACAGCACTGGAGACACACCGGTGACTGTCCAGCTACAGGACTCTTGCATCCAAACAGCAGTTTTCCCTGGCACGGGCTTGGGAAATTTTACCCCTCAGTTAGAGTGGCCTCCTGAGTTTTCCTCTCTAATCAGCCTTCATTCCCAGCCACAGGATGGCCATGATGATTAGACAGGACGGGGTGTGTGCCCTGCAGGCGTGCAAGTCGCCTTCCCATCCCCTGAACCTCCGTCCCTTGCTTTGTCAGCATCTCCTGCACGAGGACCGTTAGGTGTTCCATAGTGCTTCCTGGTTCTTTCTCTGCATGTTTATTTTTCATGCAGCTGAAATAGAATCCAAAAGAGAGAACAGTCAGAGTAAAGTTGACTAAGTCCTTACTATGAGTGAGGCTTTGTGCCAAGGACTTTACAATAATTATCATATTGTTTCCCTAAGGCAGTTACCATTATATTTACAGATTGAAAGTTTACAAGTTTACAGATTGAAAACTAAGGCTTGTAGAGATTATCCTGCCCAAGTACAGCCAGCTAGTAAGTCTAGAGCTAGGATTCAACCCAGATTGGTTTAACTATGAAGGAAGTATAAATGAGAAACCTCCAGTAATCTACATGTTAACCCTCAAGTCTTAGACAGTGGATGTTTCTTATTATTTCCTGGAGCCAATACAAAATACTACTGTACCTCAGAAGCCCTTGGATAAATATTAAATTATATTTGATTAAAACTTTGATCAAAAAACCTGTTGCCATGTCCCAACATTGGAAACTAGAATTCCGTGTATGAGAGATCTGGTGCCTCCCTGTGAAATAGAACATTCAGCTCACTAGAACGTTAGGGTCCTGAGCATTCCAGATAAGAGAGTTTTCTCTATAATAAATGTAATGTATGCAATTTGGAGAAGAACTCACAGAATATGTTTTGAGAAATACTGGGAAGTGGTTACTGTATCTAATGATGAATGGTCTTCATTCTGGTCTTTCCTTTCCCTTCAATTTCCATGTCCTGTCTGCTAAGGTGGGAGAGGTATAGAGGAGGAACAGTATTCATGCTTTATTTTTGCCTTTTATGTGTCTGCTCCCTTCATGGGTGGGAGGGGAGATGGCACAGGATCCACAAATCCTGGGGACCATAGAATGTGCCCTAATCCACTGATAGCCTCCTCTTCTACACTGGGCTTCCCATCTGATAAAGAAGAGACTTGGGTTAATCTGCTCTCAAGTCAAAAAGACCTTCTCTTGGTTGTGTCTATTGCATCCACTGCAGTTCCCTTTTTTCCCAGGAAGGGATGGGAAAAGGGATCACATGTCCGTGTATCATTTCATTTTCTCAACACAAATCCTCCAGGCTAGGGTTTCACCCAATTTATAGACAAGGAAACTGAGGCTCTGGATGTTTGAATGGCTCATCGAAAGCCGTGTAGCCAGTGAGTGGTGGAGCTAAGCTTTAAGTCTAGGCATTTCGTACCCTGGCAGGAGTTGGGGTCTTGTAAGAGGCTACAGTTCTAAGTGGGGAACACCAGTGTAGACCACCCTTGAAGAAACTCTGCCCTGGGTGGAGGGGGGTGTCCAGTGGGACGTCTTGGCTTTGCCCACAACCTCTACCCCCTGCATCTTGAAGAGAAGAAGGCTGTTACTTGTATCACTCCAAATAAGATTTTACTTATTAAAAAAGCATACTTAGACTATAAATAAGGCAAAGAGGATTGAGTGCTTGAATGTTAACAAAATAAACCCCTTGGAAATAAATGAACATCTCATATTGCGCTTCATTTCAGTTTCATGAGCTCCAAAATAGCACTTCAAGTGATTAATGTTTTCTTCATTAATTGTAAGTAAACCCAAGTAAAACCTTGCTCTTTAACATGTTTTTTTAGAAGATTGAGGGTAGTTCATCTCTAAGAATAACCTTTTGAAACCTGCTGTAGGCAATTCAAGGTGGTGGAGAGGATATGTGCTTTGTGTCAGGCAGACCTGGGCTTGGATCTCGGTGCTATGACTTTCTGACTGTGTGCATCTGAAAGAATGAGCCTTAGTGTCACATTATGATATGG